TTCTTTATCACACTAGCAATTTTCTGGTCAAGCAAGCTCTGGAGTGAGTTCTGTCAATCAACATCCTTTTTGTTTATTCACAGATGCTATCTAAAGTTTGTCAACTCATCAAACCATTAATGTTTGTAATCTTTCACTAAATCAGTTATCTGAACTGCTTTGCTCAAGGTGGTAGTAAATTTCTATTACACAGTTTATTTCTTAAGTGGGAATCGTTCACCTTCATTACTGGATGCAGAATGCTGTTTCTTTTTAACAGCTGGTGAGTGATATCAGCCAAGGTTGCTTTTGCCACAAATTCTTCCTTAATTCAGAAAGTCAACTGCAGCTTCAATATTCATTTTTGCATTCGTTGCCAACTACAGATAAAATGCCGTCTGGTTTTATTTATTTATTATTTTATTAATTCAAAGACTTTTTGTAATTTTATATAATTCTATTTTATTTTTTTACAGGATCCTTTTTTTTTAATCATTATTTCTCATAATTAATTAAAACTGTTTTTGCAATAAAGACTGTATAATTTGCTTTAGCATATCTAACTCTTACTAAGTTTCTTACGTTAAACAATTTATAGTTGTAAAGTACATTTTAAATATATTTATATATGGCAAGAAGAAGTACAGCATGTCTTTTGTATAAATAACTATGTATTAACAATTTTTGTGTTTAAAAATTATGCAGTGATGCATTGTAATGTTCTAAGAATTATGTATGCTGTTGTTACAATGTGCATTACTGGAACCATTTATTTGAAGTCTGATAAATAGCTTGATATGTTGCAAAAAAATGTGATTTTAATACAAGATTCTTTCAGATAGCTAAAAAAAATTATTTTGCATTTGAAAATAATAATTAAAAAGTTTTGCACCTGAGGAGGGATTTTTTAATGATAGGTTTTTCTTTTAATAACTGCAGTATTTAAATTAAAGGAAAGGGAGGTTCTTTTTCAAAATAGTAAATAATTTTTATTTATCACGAAAAGATTTTTTTCATCTTCTCATAATTTATATTATATTTGCTTTAGTTGTTCAATTATAAAACTCCACACAGTGTTGTTACCAGACATAAAACTAATTGTATACAGCATAAAGTAAGCAAGTTTGCATTTTTAGTTACTTTCTGAATGTTCCACTCGGGTGTAATTTTGCCATTTCAAAGTTTCCGGTTTATGAAGTGTTCTGGTGTTATGTAGCAAAGAATCTCATCTTGTTATGTAACATTTTGTATTTTAGATCCACTTCCTGTTGCTGCTGCCTCTATGTGGACCAGGAAAGATATTGCAGAGTTTAAAGAAGCAATTAGAAAAGAAGGAGGAGATGGTATAATCAAAGTTGGCCATGGTGAGACGGTCACAGTGAGAGTTCCTACTCATGATGATGGCACATGTTTATTTTGGGAATTTGCTACTGATAATTTTGACTTAGGATTTGGCGTTTATTTTGAATGGACTAGAAGCCCTGATGCTCAAGTAACAGTACATATTAGTGAAAGTGAAGATGAAGAGGATGAAGATGAAGGTTTGTTCAAAATAATAATATTTTTCATTTTTGCCTTTGTGTCATAAAATACTATTCAGAACACTTTTTATGATACAAACTGTATTTTGAGCCAACTGATATCATCTGGTTATAATGTATAATATTACTTAAAACAAGTTACTTCTTCTTATTATTATATTTTTCAGTTTTACATTTAAAATTTTAATTTCGTATGCAAAAAATGACTTTAGTATTATGCTTTCTTCTTACAAGCATTAGAAGAGCAGTATCAGTAATAACTTAACTTATTCAGACTCAGAAGATGACAACTATGGTAATGTTTTATTTCCATGCTGCCTGGAAATAAAACATTACCATAGTTATCATCTTCTGAGTCTTTTTGATATTTCTGTTTCCCAAAATATTCTATCTTGGAATCACACGTGTTTAACCATCCTTGTACCCATGTATTAAAAGTACTTTGGAAGCCCCTCCCCCCTTTTTTAATGTTTTAAGTATTTTGTCACTATAGTTTTACAAACTTCATTTGTTTTGAACCTATAGCGTAAGATTCTACTTTCACTGCGAATCACGTATTAATGTACGAAGGTTTGATTCTGGTTTCCAAAAAAGCAGTTTTAATTTCTCTTTCTATATTTCTGGAATTCATTTAGTATAGATTTATTACTTTTGGGGGTAATTTTTCATAATCAGTTTAAAAAGTGTTATTTGTCTGTCTTCATTCATGATTCAAGATCATTTGAATCAAAGGCAAAAAAAGACCATATGAAAAACTTTGATTTCCATAGAATTTATCTCTTGGATGATATAGAGCAGCATTTAAACCTCAAATAATCACAGTAACTAATGTTATATTCTGCGGTGTCAAAATTTGTAATATGCAATTAGAATCATCCATTTAATATAACAGGGTTCGTACGGTCCTTAAGAGTCCTTAAGTTTTTTGGAATTGATTTTTGGTCCTTAAAACTCCTTAATTTTGGCCAAAAGTGGCAGAAGGTTCTTAATTTTAATCATTGAAATTTCGTCTTTTTAACGACTGCCGTTCGGTGTGAATTAAGCATTTGCAGGAATATTATTTGGCGATTCCAGACATATGGCTATTTTTTTAATGGTTCAGGAGTTCTAATTTTTCCTATTGTAATAAAATAATGTTGGAATACTCGAGTTCTGACAAGAAGTGAAATATAAGCATTTCAAAATTTTTCATTTTTGTAATGGAGCTCATCAAAAACTTTCCATTTTGGGGATGTGAATTCTTTATAAATGGTTCTAAATTTGGCAATTATCAACATTTGGGCAATTTTAAGATCGTTTCCATAGAAAATTTTAATTACGAGATCGGAATTTTTTGACGATTTTTTGTTAAATTTCATTAAAATATGGTAATATATTGGAATTATATCTTAAGAAATAATATTAAAATAAAGTATTATTTTTCTTTGTCATAATTATAAAGTCATTTTGCTATATATTGTACAGTTTTTTGATCTGAAAAAATAAGCAAGGAGTATGCTTAAAGCACATTTACAAAACGTTTTTAGCAAAGCAAAAGCTAGTAATTAATTAAAAATGTCTTTTTTTTTTTCATGGAGAATTTTTCCAATTTCTCAGAAAAGCATCTTTTCTCTATAAAATTGATTCACACTTTTTCTTCCAATTTTTTTAAAAACATTTCTGGCTTTTTGCTGTTTATTGTAGTGGATAATTTTCTTGGATTTTAGACATTAGAAGTTGGAAAGTTTAAAGATTTAAGACAAATTATAGACCCGATCTAAGATTCCAAAAAAAAAAAAATGTGATAAATGAAGTTTCCTGAGTTAGACAAGTGTGTTCTGACTAAAGTAAACCCATGTTTTATTGCGTTTGTGTCGCTCCTGATAATTTGCAATTATTAGTCTTTCCATTCGGCTGCTGACATTTGAGATTATACAAGAGTACTGAACCAGATTAATTGAAACGGTATAGGTCTTTGACCAGATTTGTTAGTTTGAATTGACGCTTGTTTAATAGATCTCACAACTGAAATGATTTGTTTGCATAAAGCAGGCCTATATGTGCCAAGTTCTTTTGCAAAAGAAGTTATTTAAAACTTTATTTAATTTTTATCTGATTTATGTTACTCAGACATAGTATAATTATGTTTCACGTCGCCGGGGGTTGTTGGACTATTTAACTTTTAACCAGATCAGTTAGCCCTCATTGTTACCTTGTGGAGAGGTTGGCAGTTGGGAGATAAAGGCAGAAACTAATGAGAACATTTTTTTGCATATTAGACAAATTTCTAATTTAGAAAACATGTTTAAGGAGAAGGAAATCGATTAAATTAGCCAAAGTGGGCAGGCCTTCAAATAAAAAGACGCATAATTAATTTTGTTGAGTTTTATGTTTTATAGATTTTAATGTGACTTACCTAAGATTTTTAAAAATCAATGTCATAATTGCATGTATTTTTAACTGTGAAATTTATGTGATTGTGATTATAGGGTTTTTAAACAATATTATTCTGGAATTTCGTTGTGGCGTCAGTCCGCCGGACCGACGTATTAAAGTTAAAATAAGTAAGTCTCAAGAAATGTATCAAAAGTAGTTTTAAAAATTTATTAAACATTCTAAACAAAAATACGGCTTAGTTCACATATTAAATAAGACTATTTGTTACATTTTTGGCTATCTGCAGCCATAGTTTTGAATTGTCATCATAACATTTCGAACAATACTTTCGGAATTTATGTGCGTCTCTTCTTTTTTATAATTTATGAATAATTAAGTCGCACATATTGACACGCTTGATCGCAATATTGCCACACTAACAGAAAAGCATACAAATTCGGCGGCGCTGAAGTCAATCCCTTTACAGTGGTCACAAAGAAAACACACAAATATAAAATTCAGTGAACTTATTCTTTGCATCTAGTGACTATTCAAACACTTATCACCGCTAATGCTTTGTGGCCTAATAGACCTTAAATTCTATAACTGAGTTACAAACCCCGGAAACTCACACGAAGCTATGACACTAACACATCAGACAGTGGTCAGCACTTTCACAAACTTGCCAACTATTACATCAGGCCTTTCAGTTTGTTCTGATTAGCAGTCTTTCTATAGGCGAGCAGGAGCGGTGACAACAGCCATTCTTTGTTATGACAATGCTGATATGTTTTAATGCTCATTTTTACCTATGCTGCTTGACATAAATCTACTTACTAAAAACTGGCAAGTAGTGACAAAAGGAGACAATAAACAAAAAAAAAATAAAAAAAGCTAACTGTTAAAATGTAACTAAAATATCTTCTTTCAGATATGTCCAGTTATTATGAGTGTAAAATATTTAAGCTTCTTGATAAATTTCATAAATAATTTTTATTCTCAAAATTCTTAATATTTTTAATTATTAAGTTATGTTTAATCATAATGCAAGCTACTCACATTCAGGCAAGATATAATATTTTTAATTGATTTATCGTTCCCATTGCTCCTAGGTCCTTATTTTTTTCTTAATGCCGTAAAAACTTAATTTCCTGGCAGAATGCGTACGAACCCTGTAAGAACTCTGCAACAGATAACTTAAATTCACAGCACCATATATTGTTTACTATAAAAAGTTTGTTATTTACATTGCTTTTTCATTAAATGAAGAAGATGTTATCATTATAGTTATGAACTTACATTAAGAAAAGACTGAATATTTGTATAATATAGATAAATTGTATGTATGTAATAACAAACTTTGAAAGACATAGTTATTCATTTTAATTAACAAGCAAACACAAGCAAAATGAAAAAGTACAAAATATAGTACTTAGTGCCTTAATGCTTAATATATTCCAAATTTTAAGCTTTCTGTCATTATATCAACATATCCACAGCTTCTAACATCATACACACACATATATACATAATTTATAATTAGAAAAGGTTTTTTATTTTTTTTTTTTTTTTTTTTTTTTGTATATTATCCCCAAGGAATGTAAATTTAATTAATGCAATAAATTATTGAAATAAATTTGAGTTACTGTTTTAAGTATAAGTTAGTTATATTTCTGTTGTAGTAAAATATTTTAATAAGCTGTATAGGAATAGTATTTTAAACCCGAAAAATTCGAAGTAGCAAAGTTGAAAAGTAAAATTGAAAGTACTAAAAAAGTAGCCATTGCTATTGACCATAGATTAACTGACTTGTCAAGGAGAACAAACCAATCCACTATTAATTAACAATAACCAATCTGTCAATAACAGTGGCTACCTTTTAGTACTTTAAATTTCACTGCTTCGAATTTTTCCAGTTTAAAATACTACTTCTATACAACTATAATATTTTTACTACAATAAAAATCTAAATACCTTGTACTTAAAATACTAACTCAGATTTATTCCAATAATTCATCGCATTAATTAAATTTATGTTCCTTGGAGGTGACTATTAAAAAAAACTTTTAATTATAAACTATTGATTTATTACTTGGCAGATAGCACAAGTATTCGGCTTTTTAAATACTAAAAATTACTTGTTTGAATATATATATAATATTAAAAGAGACTTTATATTAAAAAGTGCCATATACAGTACAAGTCCAAAATCCACATCCATTATTTGGAATGATTTAAATTCCGGACCTCAAAACCACCACCAATGTTTTCTCGTAGGCTGATTCCTGATTCTTAATTTCACTTAAACACTAAATAAAATACCTTGCTATTGAAGAAACAATCATTTTAGCATAAATTTTTACAATCAGTAATTTGTCTCCATCGCTGCATATCTGCTTGGCATACATCTCAAACCCAAACATTCCACATAGATGCATCGTTGTTCTGATACCAACCTGGCGCATCATTATTTATTATACTTTCCTTTCATCATCGCATGTTTATCAAAACATGACAAATTGGGTAATGACTCATGTAGCGATGCCTAAAATTGTTTTTTATGTTAGTAATTGAATAATAAAGGATTATGGTAACCTTTTATGTTGACACTACGCCTGCCAATGATTACAGATTTAAGTTAAATGCACTAAAAATGTTGACGAGAAAATTTACCAAAATTTCTTTCCATATGCTAAAAAAGATTGTTGATGATACTCATAGACCCAAGATTACATTTGGGCTATTTGAATTAAGAATACTGATTTTGTTATTGACATAAATCCAGAACCATGCCAGAACTCATGTAGGCCGCACCGATCGCAATTTAGGACTCACGAGACAATCAGCGATAAAGATATCTATCGCCTGGCCCTCAATAAGCTTAAGTATATGTGGAATTTATTTATTCGAACTCTGATAAGCCTTAAGCATGTTCAAGAAAGAGATAGTATAAATAATAACTAATACAATTCAGGCTTAATGTCTCAGTGCATGATAGAAGCAAGATAAAATTAACGACCTTGTCATTTAGTCGCCAAGCTCATGATGCACAGACAAATTGTTCTAGTGAAGGATAACTAATGATAACTCGCTAATTTTAAAGGTTTTCGGATATCATAAAACAAGGTGAATTTTCCAATTAACTGATTTTTAAATGTGGGAAGCGGTAATAAATGAAGATGATAAAAGAAGTTTTTTCATTGTGATGACAATGCTTCTCAATCATCAATCAATAATGAGTAGTGCAAAATGTGTAGTATGGTTTCAGATCCAGAAGTACCCACTCTGGTAGTGAAGAGTGACAGAGAAGTTACTGAAACAAAAAATTTTTGATTGACAAGTTAGTCGAATTCTCGAACACAGCAGTTACAGACTTCAACATGTAACTAAACAAGAGATTATGCCTGTCTACAGAATTAAAGAGAAAATATTAGCACAAAAAACGAAGCAACTTGCATTGAAAGAAATATTTAATAAGGTAAACAAATAAATATTAAGACTTTTTTTTTTAAATTTTGATACTCTTTAAATCATAAATACTTCATTATTTCATAAATCACGATTTCATATTTTTAATTTTATAATTTCTTCATGCCATCTTACTAGATTTAAACTGATGATCTAATATCCGGAAAAATCCCAAATTCGGAATTGCCGAAGTCCGGACTTTGTACTGTATATATATATATATGGTTTTCTAATATAACCGTCCTTTTCCTCTCTGATCTTGATATCTGTTTTTGGAGAGAAATTTTTCTTATACATCATATAAATGTAATGTTTCTTTCAAATACCTTTTTTTTATTATTATTATTGAATTAATAATGTTTTTCCTAATGAAATATTATTTTCATTGCTTTTAAACGTAATTTTCTTTCTCTTTTTAGAGCTCGAACAAGCTCGTCATGATATAGAAAGAGGAGTCGCATTGTCTGATAGACCACCATTGAGTGTAATCATTCCTGTGTATCGTAGGGACTGTCATGAAGAAGTATATGCAGGCAGTCATAATTATCCAGGTCAAGGGGTTTACTTGTTGAAGTTTGATAATTCATATTCATTATGGAGATCTAAAACTTTGTATTATAGAGTATATTATACACGATGAGAAAAATTTGTGTATGAATCTGTTTGACCACTGCAAATATATAATTATTTTCACCAGATGTCTTACGTTCAGGAGCTACAAAGCAGTTGTGTATTATAGTATACTTTTGTATGCATTAGTCCCGCTTTTTATATTTTGTTATTATTTAGCCATACAAATAAATAATAATTAAGTCTTTAGATAAAGATAAATGCACTTTGTTGTATTAGCATCCCCTTATTGCTAAGTCTTTGTTATTTATTAATACCAAAAAGTATTCATCAAAAATTTGGAAGGGGAGGCTAGTCTTGAAATATAGCATAAATAGAATTCTTTTCATTCTTAAAACATGGATGAATACAGTTCATATAAAAAGTAATGAATATTAATAGATAAGAATATTGTGCAATTTTTTGTTTTAGTTTCTTGTGTAATAAAAAACAAGATGTTTCTGAGTAATTATTCCTTTCCGTACTCATGTTCAGTAGTGAGGATCTTTCAGAAAGGTATGGCAACATATGCGTAATGTATAAAAACTATCATTGTACAATCTAGTATTTTTTGTGCAATCACTCCCTTGTATTTATTCTTTTAAGAAATGTAATTTGCAAGTCTCTGGTAAAAATAACTTGGTAATAAATTTTTGCTGTTGCATTAGTGCCATATGATGTAATTACGTAACTACAAGTTTTGTATTTGATCTCATCATAATTTATTATTACCAGCCACAGAACAAAAGTGCTAGTACTTAATCTCATTATTACCTAAAGTAAAATAATGCAAATGAAAATTTCTTGAGTCTTTTTTTAAATTAAAGTACATTGTGCCCTGGAAGAAATTCTAAAACTGAAGAACTTCAGGTTCGTATTTATTTTAAATCAAAAACTAAACAGTTATTTGACTTACCTCTGAGTGTTGAATTAAAAAAAAGACTGTTTTCAATAAATCGCATTATTTATGTTTTGAAATGTACTGAATCGTGTTTGAAATCAAGTCCAGAGGCTGAATTTTCCCCATTTTTTTATGCCTATTCTTAACATTATCTAAACAATGTTAATGTTTTGATAAATAATATTTGGGATTAAAATTATTTTGGAAAATTTTAACAGACATATAAATCTTGCTGTTTATTTTGGTTTTATTATAAACGTGCAATAAAAATGTTATAACTGTTCACACCAACACACACACACACACACACATATATTATATATATATATATATAATACCTATTGTTTTGAAAAATTTCCTTCAATATTTAAGTTTTCCCAGCACTACTGCCCATGAAATCACAAATTGAGAAAACGGGTTAGTATTGGCGGTTTTCTCAATTTTTCTTTAAATTAATTAATAAGTCATTTTTAACATTTAAGAACCACTAAATTAAGTAAGAATTATTTGCATTCTTTGGACATACTTCTTGAAATTTATAAAATTTCAAAATGGAAGATCCAAATCTGAATGGGAATATTTATTTTCGACTACCAATAATCTGAAAACGTATACATGCAAATTGTAGCAAAACAAATATTGATATTTATGTCTTGAAAATTTTTGTAATATTAAAAATATATTCCTTTAGCAATGTTGGTAATCCCTTTGATAATTTTGATGAATTAGATTGTGTATATTGCTTAGTGTATCCCATCTGACTCATCATTTGGCTTTTAAATTTGTCATTACTTAGATTTGCATAAAAATTTCCCAGTTCTGTCAAATTTTCAAGATTGTGTATATTTTATAACATTTAAAAACTCAGTAATAAAGTTTATAGTGCCTCTAGTTGTGTAGATATTTGGTGCTTTGTACAGTATTTTAAGAAAGTAATCTTTGAAGATGGAAAAAAAAAAAAAAATCTTTTTTTCTGTAATTTATCTGCAAGTGGAAATATTTTAGAAGGTGAAAAATGACTGAAAGAATTTTCTAACCATTTGGTTTGTTACTGTGTATAATGTTCTGATTATTAATCAAATGAAATAATTATCAAACAAATAGATATCTTGTATATGTAAATATTTAGACTTTATAATATCAGAAAAAATTACAGAAATATTAAAAACATTTTCCCTGGGTTTTTTAATAGCATTTAAGGTTTAGAAAAATATAATTTTCTGTATGTAATTTGTTTCTGTATGCATAATATATGTCACTTACCAAGTGCTTTGTCATTTAGAACTCTCTTAAGCCAAGCTTGTAATATATTGAGATCCGGCTTTTTTCTTTTTTTGACATAATGTTATACATTGTTTTATAATGCATTTTTAAATTTAAACTAATTATGTATAAAAAAAGTTTAATTTTTAGGATATTAACTAAAATTATTTTTGAAACTTTGCTAATTTGAAAATTTAGTCATTTTTCATATTATTATAGTTTTATCACTTAAATTTTAAATTTGTTTCTAATTGAATTCTTAAAGACTTGCTATTAAGTGTATGCAATAAATATAAAGTCTACTGGAAAATTCTGCCCATTTGGGAAGTAAAAGAAAATAATAATTTTTCATATTCTATTAAAGGACACCTTGCAATTTTAATTTGAGAAATTACTGATGGGTTCAAAGCAACAGACAATGAATTGCTGGTGTAGAAGATAAATGCAAATACATGCTTCTGTTTGTTTTGTTAGAATTTTCATTTCTAAATACTTGAAAACAAAACTTCCAAAAAGCTACTTTTAAAGAAATATTAGAATACACACACACACACATCTAAAAAAAAAAAAAAAAAAAAAAAAAAAAAAGAAAGAAACTATTTCATAAGATTTAATAAAAAAACAAAACATGATTTTGTACTTGGGTAGCCGTCAATTTAGGAAGTGAAAGAAAATAATACATTTTCATACCTTCAATAATATTTACTGTACACTACAATTGCCATCATTACTTATGACCTCTTGCCAGCGTGATGGTAATTTGTAGATACTATTTTTGAAAAATGTCTTGTCCTTAGAGGCAAATAACTCAAGAAGTACTTGGCTGATATTTGCTTCACTTTTGAATTTTTTCCCTTAAAAATTTTTTGCAGAGAGAAACAAGTGATAATCAGAGGTTGCTATGTCTGAAGAGTACGGTGAATGCAGCAGAATTTATCAATCTAGCTTTGCGATTTTCTGATAAGTTACTAAAGCAGCATGTGGTCTGCCAAAATCATGATGTAGTATGGTGATCTTTCTATTGAACATCGGCCTCTTTTCTATGACTGCTTTGTTTAAATCATTCATTTGCTAACAATATCTCTCTGAACTAAGCTTTTCTTTCAGGCTGAAATTCAGTTAAGAGGTGGGATGGATAGATTGTCGAGGCTCATGGTATGCTCTTTTCCTAATGCTTGATACTTGATACAAATTTTTCTCACTTAACTCATTGAGGCATCCATCTGAAATATTTGTAGATCAATCCTAGTTTCCGAATGGTCTGAAATAGTTTGCTGAACATAATTGAACTTTTCCACAATCTCTGATGCTGTCTACAAAGGATCTTGCTCTAGCATGGGCTTCACAATATCATCATCGATCAAAGATGGCCATCCAGGGAGTGGTCGATCATAAAGTTCAAAATGACCTGCTTAATATTTTTCAAAACATTCCCTGCACAGTCTATCAGAAACTGCATCGCCACTCTCTAAATTTCAGTACGCTTCAGTAGTATTTTTTCTATATTGGAATTTATGCAAAATGCAGTGTCGAAAATGAGCTTAGCCAACATTGTTTACACAGTCCCCTCTCAGTTATTACCGACATGAAACACTTTTGTTTCAGTTAATTTAGGATAACAAGTGTTTATAAATCCAGTGATAAAATTAGCCACATATGTCTCAAATGAACACCTGCATGCATGTTGAAGTTTAAAATAACATTATTGGACAGACTTTTCAGGTAGACATTATATATACATAAATATATCATTAATTCCTCAAGTATTTTTATTTTCATATATTTCAAAACGAATGCATTAATAATTTTTATAATGTATATTTTTAAATACATTTAAAGAACTTAATGCAGTTAATATAAGCATATAAATATAAAAATGTAATTGTTAAAACTCCCATTTTGGAGTAAATTATAAATATATTTAATAGTATAGATATCACAGCTGTCAATACTCTTTTGAATTCCTTATGCTTCACTGCAAATCATTGAATGTGGTGGCATTTTCTCTTTACCTTTCAGAGTGCACCGTGAACTGGAATGAATATCACCAGGCAAAGGGGAATACAAAAACAGGTTCTTTATATGCCATTCATATGGAAGTATTGTAACCTAAGCAATATGAAATGAAGAGATTTGTTTTGTTTTCTGCTGCATTCATCCACATGTGCCATAATGTTTTAAATTTGCAGTAAACTAATTTTATCTTGGCATTAGTTGTTAATTTCATTTTTATCATATTTAAAAATACTTTGAAAATAAAGGCTTTTTTCATACTTTGGATTTTGTCAGCACAAATTTGAGAAAATTACAAAATGAAATAGAACTAGCCAAAAAACATAAAATTTAGAATACCTAATTAAATATTAATGTATTTTTTATCAGAATGTTCAGTAACCTGAACCATACATTATAATGCAAGTAATATCAATTTGGCGTTCTCTTAAGATCGCATTACTGCACAGTTTGAAAACCCCCTGGTTTTTCAGATTTAAGGTTGACAGCTATGATATATATATTCTGATATTTATTTTATAAAAATGATAATGCAGTTCTTATGAATATATTTCAAGAGCCAAGTAACTGGATTTCAGCTGTTACAACTCGTACCTGGATTATATATTTTCTAATGTCTGCTGTGCAGATATGAAATGATCATTTTAATTATGTTTGTGTTCAAAAATAAAATATGCTTTATATAAATAATATTGTTATTGTCCTTATTATATTTTTATACCTCCCCAATCTTTATTTTCTCATTTGTTTTATCAAAATCTATTCATATTTAAGGAATGCAGTAGTGATCAAGTGATTAAACCTGCTGAATCCTGGAAACTTGAATCTGGTTTTAATACCCAGGCAAACAAGCTGTTTACATGGGGGTTCAAATGGTAACAAATATATGAGCCAATTCTTTTAGAAAGCTCTCCACGAAAGCATTCTCCCCTTAGGCAAATAGCAGTGTGTGCTTTGCTGTATTCAGATAACCTAATTCCATTAGTTGTAAATTATTGTATAAAGTAGCTAAAATTTCAAAATACTACTGATCTGAAATTTGGAGGATGGACTGGCTACTTGGAAGTATTCATAGTTTCTCCCCATATGTAATGTAAATATGAATCAAATGCTGTAAAAAGCCCTCAACAAAGGCATCTGTTGTGCTGTATTCAATTAATCAAATATTGAACACAGATAACAAGTTCCTTGACCTAAAGTACCAAGTAAAACAGCGTAATTTTAAAGCATATACTACTGGCCATAAATCTGGTTTTATGCTGCAGATAATCATGAAAGGATGTTCTAAATGACGTAATTGATGTGACTGCACAATGATTGGCATTGAATCATAAAACATGTATATCAGCATTGCTTCCTGGAAATATTATAAACAAGCTAACATTAATACATCTAGCTGGCCATTAAAATTGCATCATCAGGAAGAACACAAAAATTATAAAATCAATATACACATGATGCATAGATTACACAAGGACACATATGTACCATTAATTATTAGAAAAATGAAAAATTTGTTAGTCTTGTTCAGTCATTTATTCTACATTTGATAGCTGGTGTATATATGTATTCTACAAAACCTCTATTCTAAATATGTTCATCTTAGGCACTGTGTAACAGACAATTACAATAAAGGAGCTTTTCAGATGATATGCTAACACCCTGTGAATCAGCTATACTCCTACTGATGAAAAAAAAAGGACATATATAGCAAAAAACGTCTCTTGAAAGCAATATTAGAACTACTGTTAAATATTGGAATTCAATCTGCGCACTGTTCTTGCATATAGACATGTTATATTCAGTTAAAGAATATGACATTTCTACCAACTCTGATTACAGAGTATGGCACTTTGAGACTGCTCATCATCATTCCCAGAAACTGGTTCTCGTGTTGGACATAATGTGGCCACGATGTAAATATGGATAGTAAATAGAGGACCAATGAGCTCACTGATATTAAGGATCCTAGTGAATACAACCAAATGAAAGTACTGATAGCTTATCCATATGATTATTATGGATGATTTAGTCTCATTACAAATGCCAGCTCAAGAACCTGAATATGTTGCACAGTAACCAGACTCCATACATGAGGTTTGACATCATCTGCAGAATTAGAGAATTTACACAAGGCATCATTCCTTTGATTATTTTTGACTACATCACTGGCAACTGTGGCTGCATTCATGTCTAAAACATCGTGGGTGCAAGGATGAATGGCCATCACTTCCACCTGCAGCAGCAGGATGGTCCCATCCAAATTCCCCAATGTAACTATAAAAACAGACTGAGTGAATCCTACATAATCAGTCACCATACCTGTCTGGAATCTCATATTAAAATTATGGGGTGCTATTGGATTCTTTTCTTATTTAAGTCTAGTAACATTAAGAACATTCAGCATTACATCTATGAACTGCTGAAGTCTGTTGTTCTTTAGTTTCAGGGCCTGGAGTCAGTAACCAAAAAGACAGTGAACTATCAGATGCAGCATGCAGTGTCCTATAATTTCTGAAGAGCTGCTATGTTTCATTTCTTTCTTAGTTCACTGGATCTGATAGGTTAGAGGCAAAACATCATTGTAGAAACAATGCAAGGAAAAAGTACTGTCTTAGAAAACATCATGGGAGAAAATATCATTATAGAAAATAAAGTGGTTCAAAATTTTTGCAATTTTAGAATATCGTATAAAATTGCCATGGTAAAAAATCATCACATGATGATAGTTTGTTTTCATACTGTACAATGCCAGCTAGATATGAAATGACGTTTCTTACGCATCGATCCCTGCAATTTAAGCTCACTATTTGTATACAAGAGTAATTTTATTTACTTAATTGAATAATTTACTTCCTCCGTGGAATGCCATTCATTGCATAATCAAACCAAATGTATTAAATACATTTGGTTTGATTATGCAATACAAATAGTGAGCTTAAATTGCAGGGATCGATGCGTAAGAAACGTCATTTCATATCTAGCTGGCATTGTACAGTATGAAAACAAACTATCATCATGTGATGATTTTTTACCATGGCAATTTTATACGATATTCTAAAATTGCAAAAATTTTGAACCACTTTATTTTCTATAATGATATTTTCTCCCATGATGTTTTCTAAGACAATACTTTTTCCTTGCATTGTTTCTACAATGATGTTTTGCCTCTAACCTATCAGTTATTTGTGTGCTGTAAACAAGTAGTATTGTCTGAAAATTTTTTCCAATGATATTGAAGCATATGAGATACTGTGGCTATATACAAAGGCTATGACTTAAGCATTTTTCACTGTATTATTAATTGAATAATTAAGATATATATGAAATAAAAACAGCCTGTGTATCATGAATTCAAATATGAAAATTTATTACAATGAAAAAGCAAAATGTTTTGTCACTTACATGATAAAAATCTATAAAAATGTTCTTGCATGACAAAATATTCAATACATATTAGTTTTTACAAGAACACTTTCAACAGCTCCAACACAATTGTCTCCATCAAAGAGAAAGAAATTACACAATGGCTTTCCTCGTCTAGATATGCCCTAAAATTAAATTTTTGAATATGCAATATTAATATTGGATTAAAACATTCATAATGTAACTTCATTTTATATAGAGATGCCAACTATCGCACATTTTCCATAAATATTACTGATTTCTGCTATCTGTTACAGAATTACAGATGTGATGAAAATGCCAAGCTCATGCTAATTATATGACTGAGCAAAGCTTACAGTCACATATATCACAATCGATATGATAAATTTATTTAAACTGATGTGCTGACATCACATGCTTCACACAGCTTCATAAGTGGAAAGGAGCCAATGAAATTTTTTTAGAGTGGCCAAATGTACCAACACTGGCAGTCTTTAAATTCCAAAGTACAGGAAAAATCTGGATGCAAAGAATTTCACAGTTCTTTGTCTAAAGCTGCAGATTTGGAAAAGCAGAAAACTGCAAAGTTAATGTGCTCATAGAGATCAGCTTTTTTGTATTTGGAAATTTGAATAAAGATTTTCAAGTTCTTGACTAGAGGCTGGGAAAAGGTGGTTAAGATTCAGAATGCAGTGTTGCTAAGGTTGATTAATGATTGGCATGATTTTTTGGTCAAATGGAGAGATATTTTAAAAAAGGAGCAGATTAATTTGACTAATGATCCTTACCATTCTTATGCATTACAGATTTTACACAGAGCAGCTGTGTATTTTGCCCTTCTAATCTAGAATATTCTAAATACTAAATCCCTGTATGGAAAAGGTTATAGCTATAAAAAAAAAGACTGAGCATATATATATATATATATATATATTCCCCCTTTTTAAGCTGTGTTATGGTAGTGCATGAAAATGGATTTGATTGTGCCTGAATGCTTGAAATGCGGGAAGAGAATGTGTTTGAATAAAAGGAATTGTGACTTAAATTTTCGTTTCTTGTTTCAGTGTTGTACAAATCAGTTGACTTAAGTATTACTATTTGAAATTTCAATAACATAATGAATGAAGTAACATCTTTAACTTCTCGATATAACCTCATTTTCATTCACAGTTATTTTACTTATTTTAGAACAATTGCATTCATATATTAATTCTTCACAAATAATCTTCTTTTAAATTCAGATTCCTTCCAACTCATTTTTCATTTAAATCTTCTGAACCATGGGCTTTAGCTATGATGATGAGAATTTCATATAATGTGGAAAAGGGTACTTAGTTTTATATATTTTATTTTATACAATAACATCATATAAGAGAACACAAACCCCCTCCCCCCAAAAAGCCCTATTTAACAGAAAAGATGTGGAATATAAAGCATTACTGCCATTCACTTAGAAATACTATGTTACCTCTCACACATAAATAAAGATTAACTCTCAACATTTTACAAAGCAGACTGTGAATACAGCAGTTCTCACTAAAATGCTCATACACAGTGAATTTCCGGAAGCATGCAGCAATAGTGGACGCTTCTTTAACAAGGAAGTTTTCAATTTCTTCGCTTTAGTATGTGGTATTTTCATTCAAAAACCTGTTTGTTGATTCTGACCAACTGCAAACTGAATTTGCAGTTTCACAGTTCATTGATTTGATGAGGAAATTCTTACTGCACTTCAAATTGCAATAGCATGACAAAACATTTCAAGATGAAAGAGGACTGTATAAATTTGGAGAGCCTAACAAAGTAATGTTGACAGTTTTATTAGTACTTTGTAGCAAAGCATGACAGGATTCACAGCAACACATAATGCATTTTGGAGAACATTCAAACACAATTTATCCACTGACATAATGTATGCACTATTTATGCAGAAAATGAAATCATTTACACACAACATCGTTTTTTACCACAATAAGTTTACCCTTGAAGAGTTGGCAACTGCAACTATGTCAGAGACAATCAGGAAAGGTTTCTTTTTATTTAACCTTTTCTTTCATGAGAAAAATTGTTAAGTAATGTGCTTTTTGTATGGCATAATATCCAGTTTATGCTGTCAAAACCCTACTCTCTAATGCGACAAAAGCTTGAATGTCATGTTAAGTGTTACGTATTTGTTTAAGTACTACTAATAAATATTACAGACTAACTCAGTTAAGTGTTACTGATAGCTCTATCAAAGGTCGGCATCTCTACATATATATTTTCTGAAAATAAATGTAAAGAAAATACCTTAACAATTTCATTAGCCAAAACTCCTCCAACTGCAGCACAAACAGGACTCAGCTCACCAAATACATTTCTAAAAATTAAATGCAAAAATTGTAACACAAATATATTCCATTCCTTGTTCCTTAATATATTTATATAATTTGTTTGAGACTTAATGTTAATCATGACAACAAGTTTTAGTCAATTCCATACAAGTAATTTGAATTCAACACATTGCACAAAATTACACATTGCACAAAATTACACATTTAAAAACATAACAGTTTGAAGAAACTTTTTAATTTATAAACAAATTTGAAATCAAAAGCTTTAACAAAACATTTAATTTCAATTAGCATTAAAAAACAGCTTAGAATGAAATGAGTTTGAAATAACAAACAAGTCATGGGTATGTCAGTAGATGTTGAAAGCTAGCAGAAATTTTGATACTTTTTGATTATTCATACTCCCCTCCTGACAAGTTGCCATTTTTTATTAAACTAATATACGAAAAATATTTCCAAAATAGCAGCATATTAAGAATTCCATGAAAAAGTATTCAGTATTTTAAATTCAGCAAAAGTTAAAAAGAAAAAACATTTGTAAGAAAGCATATTTTTCAAGAAATCCTTATATATATATATATATATATATTGTTTGTTTTTTCCACCTATTCTCACTATGTATACAGTGATCACAGATTTGGCATTGTGCATCTTATTGTTCTGCTTTGCTTTAAAATAAAATCAAAGAAATGCACAATTCGCTTGCTATTTTCTTCACTGCATTTCTGGATAATTTGATAATTTAAGAAATACAACTGAACAAAATGCAACTTTTTGCATTCTCTATTGTTGGAAAAAACGTCATACTTCTCAAGAAACAAAATGCTTTCTTTTTCATCAGTCAGCTGACTCCACAGTCCCATTACAATCATTACAAGGGGGAAAAAATGCACTTAATGCAAAAGCAAATACTAATCAGGAAAATGACTTGAATTTGGAGCCCTGTGCCTAAATGCATACTTGATTTGGTACATAAACAAATTTTGGTGATGTTATGGGATGTGACATAGCTACTCTGGCGACATAGTGCATCATGAATACTTTTCAAGGTGCGTATAATCAGAAAAAATATATATATATTATTTGTTTAAACTACTTCAAATATTCAGTAAATGGTGGAAAATAGGGGCTCTTGACAGAATTTTTACAAGTTGTTTTAACTTATTGATTTTTCAGGCAATAGATATAAAATTAGATTTTATCCAATTAAATCTTAAAACTGAAACAAAATATAAAAAATCTGATGTGTACACCACATGACTTCCTTGTACGGAATATTAAATTATACGCAGTTTTTTCTTGCATTTCATTTAAACTTATTAGATTGAATTAAACCTACTTCACCAACAGTGCATAAACCACAATAGAATAAATGCATTCTTTAAAACTCACTTTGTTTACCATAGTGACACTCTGGCGCTAGGTTTACTTAACAGTATTATATTTCGTTCATATTATAACTCAGAATGCACAAAATTTAATATAATTTAAAGAATTATCTAATCGTTGTCACATGTTCTATTCAAATACTATAATAAAGCTAGAACTATGTATAAAAGGAATTAAGCAAACCAAACAAAAAAGAAACAGTTTTTCACAGACGATTCAGTATTTTTCATTCAATTAATTCATTTCTCACTTCGCGACAAGGCAAAAATACATAAAAACTCAAAATATCTGTATTAAAAATTACGAAGTAAATCTTAAATGCCTATTTCCTCGAAAAAATTCCAGAAAGGATTAAGCATGATTTAAATAATAAATGAAGGCATTATCTTAGTTGCAAAGCTAAGTTTCTCTAGATTGGCAACAAATCCACTACTCGGCTGTTTCAAAATGTAAACAAGAGCAATGGCCGCCATCAAATTAAGCTTAGCGGCACTTAAACAATTTTAAAATTGTTGATAATTCTAAAAATATTGCATACAGATTTACTAAAGGCATAAAATCCTTAACCGGAAGATAAAAACAACATAATTCAATCATTTTCAAAGCAAAAAATGTACAATTTACAAACATATAGGAGTAAAGAAACTGAGATCACTGAGCCAGGTAACAGAGTGGATATATTTATAAACATATTTATATAGGTTTGGCGCGGCCGATTGAAACCAAAATACGAGGTGCACATCTACATGTTATAGTAGTCGTTATATACAAAATTTCAATGTTCTGAGGCTACTCGTTTTTGAGTTATGCGAGATACATACGTACGTACATACGTTCGTACAGACGCCACAAAAAATTCTCTTCAGAATTCATTTTAAAGCAGTTTTTTTTTTTTGAGGAAAAGAGTCTTTTATCCTGTCCTTACGTACAGATATCATGCAAAAACATCGTTAAATTGCATTCGAAAGTGGTCAAAGTGGATATTTTCGTTGAAATATGCTGCCTGAAGCTTTTCGCGATTACAATACTTCCTTTTTATTTCATACAAGAAAGCAAAAAGAGTATGAAATATTTGGTTTTATTTCTGACTGAAAATACCAAATAAATTGTAGTGAGGAAAAACTGACTTCAAAAATGAAAAGGCCAATTACAAAATGGTAGTACATTTATATGTAAATTTTATTTATAGGAATGACTGTAATTAAATTTTAGCTGCACAAAACTGTTTATTGTAAATAGAAATGGTAAATTTTCACTCTTTAGAATACATTAAGGTAGCAAAATCTCCTTTGGGCTCACGTGATAAAATAGCATATTTTTCATTTTTTAAAATGCAATGGGTTGTAAAAACATATTTTAAAAAAGAATAACAGCAGTGTGTTTCATTTCATTTCAGAGCAGTACATAATGAAAATTCAAGTATTTCAACATAAATATTTAGTAAATATATTCAAAATCTGATATTGTGAATGTCTGAACCTTGGAATTTTGCATCTTTCAAGGGCATAAGTGATTATCTAAAATCAATTTAAAAAAATTTTATTTTCAGGCATAAAATATCATTTGCAGATTCATTTCTATACTGGTAAAAGATTTGCCCAAAGATGCTGTTACAAAACATAGTAGCATGATATGTCTTCGAATTATGCTGATGCACTGGTTTGTGATGAAGCCAAAAATGACAAGATCCAACTATAAAAAAAAAATAGCATTTTAGACCATAATAACTTATGCAAGGGTCATAAGACTTGGCAATAAAGGCAAAAATCAGTGTACTCCAGCCTTCATATGTGCCAATCTTCAGCATTCAATACAAAATGGGATTCATCAACAAAACAGTTCCACCCATAAAGCATATCTGATGCAAATGAAGCTACAGTTCACTGATAGTGATACTGGTAACACAGAAATTGAGCAATGTTACTAGTAAGCATCACCAGTGAGTATCATAGCAAAATAGTTAGCAAATATGCAGCATCTACTCTCCTAATCATCTTACAATGGTCCAAGTGACAAATTTTGCATGGATAGCTCAAAGCATTCACCATTGCTCAGGCTGTTTATACCATTCCTAGATCTTATTCCATGGTCTCCTTAGGAATCCACTGACTATCTGATACTAACTTCTGCCATTCCTGACTACCATCTACTGAAATACCATTATCCATGCTAAGCATCACTCTTGATTAAAATACCAAACATTACAGCAATTTTATTATTTGGAGTCTTCCAACTTAATGACATGTTCTTTTTCGTAGCTAATACTGAATTCAGCACCGAGGCATTTTCACAATCAAGAAGTCATCTGAAATTTTAGCTTTACAGTTTTGTTTGTATCAGTATTATGATACAGAATTCCGAAGTGGTGCTCCAACTGTTACTGCAACACTGGTTGCAAAAATTTAGTCATTTGCACTTGGTTTTCCAGTTCAATAAATATACATAAAGTCATGAATTAGTCATATTAGTCAACACGATAGACTGTGGACTAAACGTTATATGGATACCTGGAAAATGTAATAAAGGAATGTAATGCAGAGTATTTCATGCAATATTCAAAAAATGATAAACTCTGTAAAGAAAATAACTTTTTAAAAAGTTTGACATGTTTCCTTCACTTCCAATCTACCACCCCCCTTCCCGGAAAAAAGAATTTTCCATACAGAATTAATAAAAAGCGTTTTTTTTTAATAGGCTGGTAATAAGAACTCCATGTAATGACAGCTACAGATCTGTATATCAAATATAATATAAGGATACCATAAATTTTACAAGATGCTTTTTAATTTTTAAAATGTATGACAAAAAGATAGTCTCAACTTCCATTATGAAAAATATTTTCTTCATCATTCCATATGACATTACAAACACTAAAAAAAAAAAAAAAAAAAAAAAAAAAAAAAAAAAAACCTCAGGTTTTATTTAATCCTTTTTACAAAATATTTTATATTTTTAAATAAACTCTTAAGGGGTATCAGAAACCCCTATACAGACAATGTTAAATTGGCCATTTTCGATGTACTTTTTTTCAAAATCTGCTGTAGATACACGCTTGAAATTTTTTGTGTAATTAAAGTATACCTATCTGATTGTACTGAAATGAGCTTTTGAAACATTTTAAATTTTAGAGTAATTTACATAATATTTTGTTAGGCATAGTAAAATTTAGCAATTTTTTCATACAAAAAAACTTTTTAAAATTTTTTATTCTAAGTTTATCACAAAAAGTTCATTTCAGTAAATATTAGGAAACCTAATAAATAAGCCATAAAAATTTTAGACACCTGTAAGCAGTAGTTCCTGAGAAAAGGTACATCGAGTATAAAAACATCACGTTTGGAGAAAAATGCGTTTTTATGTAAAAATCCTCATTGATCAAAGCAGTCGATGACATATTAAAACTATATTTTTTTACAGTTCTAATTTTCATAGAGATTAAAGAATGGTATTTTTAGAAAGATAAAAGTATAGAGAATTTGAAAATGCAAAAATCCGAAATCACAATTTTTTGAAGATTTTGGGGTTCCAACACCCCTTAATATTATGTTTCTTGGTATGCATTCATTAAAATCAATATCATTTAAACTCAACTAGCATGGACTAAAGAAATGCAGAACATTATAGAATAAAATACAATGTTATGATGAATATAAAACAAAATAAACAACGTCAATGAAAAATGTTAATTTCAAGTAAACTGAAAACCTTCTTATAACAGTGTAACAGTGATAAATAATTAACACAGGTAAATTTTGTATTCAATTGGTAATCCATATTGAACAAGCTCTAATTTTCATAATAATTTAGTTCTTTCATTACAAAATTAAACGAGCACGATAAACCCATGCGAAATTTTAAAAGGAAGCATAATTTTTGTTTAAAATGTGTGTGATTTTTACCTCATATGGCAACAGTTTCTCAGTCAGAAAACTACAAATTAAATTTAATACATAAAAAATAGGCACTTCCTTATTATAGCGGTCCCCTAGATTGAATTGCTCATCAACTGAATTATCTTGCCGCAACCTTGCTACGTGTTACATCCTGGTTGATTAGCGATTAAATTTTGGGGGCAACTATAATAAGGAAGTACCAAGAATTATTGTAGTTATTCAAACTAAAATGTTCTTATATATATATACAGTCAAAAGTCGTTAATCCGGACTCGTCGGGACTTCGGCGATTCCGGATTATAGATCATCAGTTTAAATCTCGTAAGATGGCATGCAGAAATTCTAAAATTAAAAATATGAAACCGTAATTTATGAAATAAAGAACAATTATGATCTAAAGGGTATCAAAATTTGAAAAAAGAAAAAGCTTAATATTTATTTGTTTACTTTATTAAACATTTCTTTTAATGTAAGTTGTTTAAGTTTTGCTTCATTTCATGTGATAATACTTTCTCTTTAATTCTATTAAACAGACATAATTTCTTGTTCAGTTAAAAAGTTCCGCTGTTCAAGTCCTATAATTGCTGTGTCAAGAACACCGACTAATTTGTCAATCGAAATTTTTTCGTTTTCAATAACCTCTGTTACTTTTTTTCGCTATCGGAAGCGAATTATAATGACTAGGAACTTGTTTTAAATCATATCAAAGACGGAGCATATCGAGATGAAATACTACATTTGGTAAGGAATTATAAGCCAAATAAAAGCATCTGCGCTGAAGATAAGGATAGTGCTGACAAATCAACTTCCAATTCATTACGCGCCCGCCGCGGCGCGGCGTTCCCCCCGCTGAGCAGCGTGAAATTGATAAACAGATTTCGGATTTCAAAACATAACTTTCGCTTTAGATCCTTTACATATTAACAAATATATATCGGAAATTCTATTTGATATAATCGAAAGTTTAAGCTTTTATAAAATTGCTCTTACAGTCTGCAAAAAATAATAAGCCGGATCCAATTCGAAAATTAAGGAACAACGCAATCATCAACATTAACTGAAATAGATAATTAGATAATTTTAGCTTATACGTCCATTATACATAAAACCTGCACGCGAAAACGTATTCTGCACTTGCGCACACTGATATGCGCAGTCGTAAAAGGTCTTACGCGCACGCGTGTATAAACGCCTATGCGCATGTGTCAACGCGGCGCATGCGCAGAAAGTTTTTAGTTTTGATGTCCGGATTATAGATCATTCCGAATTATGGGTGTCCGAATTAACGACTTTTGACTGTATATATATATATATATAAAGCATTTTCATTTTAAAATTAGATATTTTTAAATGAATTCTTTTTTACATTTAGATGCTTAGATAGTTTAATTACTAAGCATATATTACCCCAGCATGTCATCAGTTAGTCTTGCTTCATCTAAATTTAATGCCTTAGATACAGTACTTCTGGTCTTTTGCAATGCTTCAATATCTGTCTCACGAGATTCTGGTAATGGATATTGATTTTTGTTTGTTTCACGATAAACATTCATCACTGTAAAAAAATACATATAACTAACTTTTACGTAGGTTAATATTCTAATTATGAATACAAATCTTTGACGATCTACATCATTTATATCTACCGGCAAACATTTTACTAATACAATGATCATTTTAGATTGGATAAGGGCCACTAACTACAGATTCTAATATTACTAACACATAAGGATAAAAATGTTTTAAATGTTACAAGTGAGAAATCTTTCTCACAGTGTAAATAGCATAAAGAATAATCGGTACTTACGTATTAACGCAACCAGGCCAAAATTCGCATAAATCCTACTTACGGCAACCCTACGTGTTATACGTAGTTTTTCGTAAAGATATTATTTTTCTTACTGGTTAGATTGAATGCCCTGAAATACTTTAACTATGGGTATTTGGGATCTGCCTGCGAGTGAAAAAGATGCTGTTGAATTGTTGCAGGAATATGGAATTATACCGAACCAACATACTTGTAAAAATTCTCATAAAATGAAACTGTATTTTGGAAAGCAAATCTTCTGGAAATGTAACGTCGAAGAGTGCAATCAACATTTGGGTGTGAGAACCGGAAATTGGTTGAAGGTAGCCAAATTTCATTTGTGACAGCGTGCGCTTCATTTATTGTTGGTGTAAAGAGTTAACCCTTAATTAAATTTTGTGCAGAAGAGATGGGAATTGCTGACAAAACTGTTATAGATTGGAATAATTACAATGGCGAAGACGGTTTTCATCAGTGCTAAAAGCAATAGCCAAAAGATTTCCGCCGAAAAAAATAATTCTGCAACTTATTCAAATTCGAAACCGGAAGGGTTTAATTGCTATTTTTTATATTTTAAAACAAAATAATATAAAAAACTGTATTAAAAATTATCTGTAATTAATAAATGTACATTTTCTTTCTATTCATACTTTTTTACTCAAACTTACAAATCGTGCCAACCTGGTTGCGATAATACGTAAGTACCGAATAATCAATATGTTGAAATATATATATATCAACACACACTAGATAACACTGATACTGAAGATATCAATTTCCCCATATAATTTTATTTTACAATAAATAGAAATTAAAAAATATTATAGAGAATAAGAATATAGCAATCTCACTAAATGAACATATAAAAATTTCAGAGTTTTCTGCTATAATGTACAATACTGAGTTCAATTTTGATCACTTATGCAGAGAATTTCAAATGTAAAATTAGAATATTAATTATAATTATGTTATATATATATTGTATATATCTATATGAATTATGAAAATATCATATATTTTCATAATTCAAAATTTTAAACGATATTATTACGAGGGCTATCCAGAAAGTAGATTACGTTTTGGAATAAAAAAATAAACAAAGTATAGGAAACAAATTTTATTATATACAGATGAAAGCCACACTCAAATACTACTTTTCTACATAGTCACCATACAAATTAAGGCATTATCGTAGCGATGTACGAGCTTGGAATTCCTTCGTCGAAAAATTC